TAGAGAACAATTTCTTATCACATGCACACACAAACTTATTGTTGTACCACAGAGAAAAAATAATGAAGGTAGCCCTAAGCTACTCTTTACCTACAAGAAATTCCCCTGCTATGAAGACTTCAGTGCTTGATCAGGGATTTCATAGCATGTCAAAACCCAACATGTTTTCTCCAGCCAGGAGTTTTTGAAGCCCTTGTGCTGGCAGGTGGGATGATGCCAATCCTGCCAATCCAAGAAGCTACAACTTTCTCAGCTGTTAGCAATTCACACCAGTGCTGTCCAAAGCCAATGATACTCAGTCAAGTGTCCTTGGGCCCATCTTCAGTGATAATCTCAGATAACCAGTGATAATTCCCTTGTCTTTGGCAGTTAAAATTAGGTATCACTTGGAATTTAATTTAACCCTTCCTGGGCCTTTTTTCAGGCAGCAGCAGTTAAACAACAAATAGCATATGGAGAGATACTGCAATATACTGTAAATGGAAAAGGATCTGTTTTGGTCAAAATTACCAATTGTTAAAGGAATGTTTGAAGGAGTTAAGATGGATTTTAGAGAAAAGAAGATTAAAGAGGGTACAGATATAGGTTTCTGATATTTAAAAGATAGCCCAAGAAGGGGGAAGACAATTGCCCACTTAATCCACTGATGATAGGACAAGAAGCAATGGGTTTAGAGCTACCATCCAAAATCTGCATTCTAGGGTACATGTAGGACTCTCCTGAGTTAACAAGTGAAGAATTCCTCCATGAGCCAAGGAGAGGTGAATTAAAGGATATACATTAGCACCCCAATGAGTTTTTGCTTAGGCAATTTGGATTTAATGGCACAGCAGCATCTTAAGCAGCATTTTGCAAACTACATTTATAAGAGAAATCAGAGGACATCATTTTTAGTATTGTGAGAGTTCCAAGTGTCTCCAATGCTGTGGAATAGAAATATTGATCAAACCATCTCAGTCTTGCGAATAATAAGTATATCATTGAGAGTAATGGGAATGTACCATGCTTTGTTGGCTCCACATGGTCACTTTTGACAAATGTTCCCAAGAAATCCTAAAAGTCTGACTCATTGATGGAAGCAATAGAACAGGTTTTCTGCTGTGGTTGTTTCTATGTCTGATGGAGTCCTAGGAATCAAGTTTTATGTGAGACTTTGGTGGAGTACGCTGTCTCTAACTCATCAACAATTAATCAGTCAGTCAAATCAACTTCAATGTCACTGGGACAGTGTATCCATTCTGGGTTTTAGCCTGGACTTTAAAGGAGGTAACTGTGGTGTTGAAACATGTCCCATGTCACTCCTTAAAAAATCAGACTAGAGCCTGAAGCGTATGCAGAGGCTCACTGACATGGCAGCTGACAGCATCCACTGCAGATAAACTCACAGTCCTTGGATTTAATTGATGGCTTCTTTTGTTTATAACAAGTTGGGAGATTGCAACACATGAAAAGGTGTGGATGGTTTATTAGTTTTACTGGTATAATTTTTGCATTAAGTGCATACCTTCTTCAAGCTCCTTGGAAAGTCCTTGCAAATGTGCAATTTGAACTAGACTGTGCAACACAAAGGAGCAAAGGTTCACTATTTAAACCTGGAACTGCTGGGAGGATGATTGGGTGTGGTAAGATTGCAGGTGTGAGTGATTTGCAGTCTTCTTCATACCTGCAGATTACCTCTCTACATATATTGATTAAGTTTCTCTGTTCTGTGTTTATAATATCAATGCCGATGCAAAGCCAGAACAGTGTTTTAAAATTAACAAGTGGGGAAATATCCAGAAAAACAAAGTACTGCAAGAGAGGGAGGGAGGGAGAGACTGACTTTCACCTGAAAAATTTTGGAATTCGGATAATAGAAACTTCCCCCAAATTAATTAAAATCAGTTATATCTCCTTGATTAGCATAATGAAAAAGGAGCAAGATCATTGGAGCAAGATCAAAATATCATGGTTGGAAATGTTAGAGGCAATTAAACTATCAATACTATTAAACTATCAACAGTATTTAAATCTTTCTCTAAAGTGATCCCCCAACTGCAAACTGGGCTGTGATACTGGAGAAAATCAGGGTGAGTGTTGATGGATAAGCTGCTGACTGGGAAGAATCAATATCTGTCACTCACACCTCCCTGTTTTTTATCTGTGAACTGAGTACCATCCCAGCGTTCTCGTGGCTGAGCCAGATCCAGGTTTAAACAAAGAGGACTGAAGCTGCCAGCCTGGCAACCATGAAATACTTTAATGTATGACCTTGCTGATGGCTGGTCTTGTTAACAGACCAATTTGAGAAAGTAGTGGGAGGGTAGGAGGTTAAGGCTGTAAGGGCCACCCGTCCAGAGAGACTTGCTGGCAATTCCCTTTGGTGCAGCAGCTGCTCCATACCTTCTTCCATGTCTGGTAGAAATCTAAATTAAACCAAAAAGTGCCACCTGGTGACTCCTAATTTTATTATTGTCTTGAATCAAAGGTGTTTTCCTTGGATGGAGGAAGCTCTTTCCATGGAAGGAAGCAACACATTGTGTCCAACTCAATATTCTTAGCAGCACATCTAAAATAATACTCCCAAACCCAGGGTTGAGCAACTCATGACCCTTCAGATGTTTCGGCCTACAACTCCCATCATACCTAGCTAGTATAGCCAAAGCAAAGGATCATGAAAGCCGTAAACTTTTACTGTACCCCATCTTCATGTCTTCTGCTGGAGATCCAGGTTGAAATAATGAACCTGTCACCATATTGAGTTGGGCCCACACTGTCAAGAATGAGGCCCAGTCTTCCTGGAATTCCTATGGATTTCAATGGAATTTCCACAAGAGAAGATTCTTTACATCATAAATTGGGAGTCAATCATTGCAAAAATAAGTCCAGATTAGGTGAAATGGGGTCACAAGGAACCCACTTTTGTCCTATGCTCTGAAAAAGCACAATTATATGTATAATGGTAGTATACACTCACGTTTCTGCTGCTTTATTTATCCTAAATAAATAAAATGCCCTTGTGTGATTGGAGGCAGGGGTAGCGTGTGCATGTGCTCCTTTTTCATTGTGTCACAATTTCTCTGAAAGCCATGAAAAAGGTATCCTGGGACGTTTTCTCCCTGGCAGGGACAGACTGCTTGCGCACGAGGGAGTTTTCTCTCATGCGTGAGCCACGGGGGCACCAAGCTGGGAGGAGCTGTCCCAGCTGGAAGCACTGCCACCCTACTGATTTCCCCCCGGGTGTGTGAGAGGCATTCCTCTCAGGGAGACATGAGGGAAGCAAGCCGTTGGGCGCTGCCGCCCCGTTGGGTCAGCTACACTGTGCTGATGGCCCAGCCCCTGACCCAAAAGAGTTCTCTGGGGCAGGGAGCAAGAGGAGCTGGGCCTCTTGGGACAGCCGCACCAAACTGGGCAGCCATAGCGGGGTGGCTTAACAGGGAGCCCTGCACGGAGCAGCGGCTTGGGCCCAAAGGCTCTCTGGCCCCTTGCAACACTACTGGAACACGCTGCCCGGGGAGGCTCGCCTGGCGCCGTTGCTCAGTTCTTTTCAGTGTCAGGCAAAGACCTTTCTATTTTCCCAGTATTTTAACAATTAATTGGTTTTATCCTTGTTTTTATCAGTATTTTTAGATGCAGTGTGCTGCGTGGTGTTGTTGTTATGGTTTCTGTTCTTTGGTTTTTGTTTTTTTTGGTTTTTTGTAAGCCACCCAGAGACTTTTTTTAGTAATGGGATGGCATAGAAAACTAAATAAATAAAAACTTTAAATAAAACAAATAAATACTATTCCATGATTCTATTATTCTCTGGCTAGCCACTTGGCAAGGGTGGCAACCATCACTCTTGCCAAGCAGATCTCTTGTTTGGGGCTTTCTGTCATGATGAGATGAATTGCGGTAAGCAGAAACCAGTAGAACAAACCATTGTTTCTCCTTGTACCTTCTAAGGGCAAAACTTGCCACACTGAAATATCACATGAAATACCGTGTGACTGGGTTCGGAAGATACAACAAGATCAATTATAAAGCATTGTAGCTTTTGTGCAAACCAGTCACTGTTTTAGTCTCACAGGAAGATTTATGTGGGGAGATACTGACATCTACTGGTGTGAGCCCATAATAACATGGTGGCTAAGAGTTTGGCTGTTGGAAATCCACATTTCTCACATACATTCAGCATACATTCTTCCAGTCTCACCTCCTCCCTCATCTCTATTATGGGAATAATGATGTCAACCTACATTTAGGTCTTGTAAAAACTATACAAATAATGCATGTAAAGTAGGGGTGAGTAACAGCCCATGCATAGAATCCAGACTTATTGCATAGCATCATAGAAATGTAGAGTAGGAAGGGGCCATGAAGGCCATCAGGTCCAACCCCCGGCTGTTGCAGGACACCACCTTACAGCATCCCACTCACGTGGCTGTCCAGTTTCTTTGTGAATGTCTCTAGTGTGGGAGAGCCCACCACCTCTCTAGACAGCGTACTTCAAGATCTTTTTTCTTTTTTCAGTTCTGTTGGAACGCAACCAAAATTCTTGAAGTGTTCTCATATAGAAGGTCCACTGAGTTGGAACCCAACCAACAGGCTCAGATTATGAGAAAAATATTCTCAACTATATTATAGGGAGAATTATTGAACATATGAGCTGTTCAACATAGAACATGCTACTTCAAGTAACTGACTCTCATTGGCTAGAGAGCTGCAGAACCTCCTAGAAAGCTTTGGTTTTGGGGTGATATAGAAATTATATTCATGATAATGATATTTTTCCAGCAGAGGGTGGGTGGCCATCTACCCACCAGTAGTGGATGTTCTGCACTAGCATGCTGAACTAGATCACCTCTCTTGTCTTTTCCGATTCTATTAGTCTATGAGCAGATTTTCCCATACCACACCAGTATGGTTTCATCTGTTTACCATTCTCTGAAGGCCATTGCTCCTCTTTTTAGATTTAAATAAAGGGATTTATATAATTAAGTCCAAAATCAGAGTATGCCCCATGTGGTTAGTAACTAACTATGAAATCTGATGAGGATAACTTTGTAATTATCTTGATAAAAGGAGTGTTAGACACTAAGGTTAACAGCAAAGGTCACCTAAGTCATGGTGAGTAATTGGCTTCAGGGAGTCAAAAGTTCTGCCTCAAAATAGAGGAATCTTTCAAAGCAGCCATAAATCTATCTATCTATCTATCTATCTATCTATCTATCTATCTATCTATCTATCCTTTATAGCTCACCCTTTTCCCTCTTGCAGGAATACCCAAGGCAACTTCCTCCTCCTCATTTAGTCCTCAGAAGAACCCTGTAAGGTAGGTTAGACTGAAAGTCAGTGTCTGGTCCAAATTCACCAAAGAACTTCATGGCTGACTTGGACTGGAGCACAGATCTCCCAGATCCCATTCCCAATACTCTGTTCCAATAGTCCAATACTCTGTTATACCACACTGGTTTTCCAGTTACAATCTAAACCGGAACTCCCCACCCATCCCTGCTCCATTCCCTCCTGCCCTCATCACCACCCACAAAATGTACTAGCTCTTGCCTCTTAGTAGTAATGCAAGAAGTAGCAGCTGAGAAAGGAAGGGGGTTTTACCTCCCTCTGTTCTCATACTGGGTGAGGGAGCCCTATTGCTCATGGAGATTTACACAAATACAACAGCCTTTGAAAGAGCTAAATGTTCCATGAGCCACCAGGCTCTGCTGCATGACAATGTCATTGTCAGTTTGGCTTGGAAAATTGTCATTTTTGAAAATTGTCAAAAATGTTTCCTGAGTTTTTATAAGAAAATTTGAACAATTATGAGCCAATCCAATCAATGAGTTTTGGGCTGAACACTTCAGAAGCATAAGTCATTGCCTGAATTTGGTAATTTTGCTGAAGCTAAGCAGATCTGATGAAAAGAATGTGCCGATGGAACTAACTGATTTTCTTCCCCTCTTTTGTTCTTTCTGAAGGAGGAAAATGAAGACCATCTTCCTCAACTTCTTTTTGATTGCTGGAATCCTTGCTAACAATCCTTATCCACATAATGCTGGCTATCCCAACAGTAATAACTGTGACAACTACCTGTGTGAACCATATACTCGGGATATGAATCGTCAAAACCAACCCAATCCCAGTCACCACACACCAAGAGAAATCGTAGTCAACAGTAATTCTGACTTTGCATTCAAGTTCTTCAGGGTAGTTTCTTCTAATGGAGCCCAACGGCATCATACAGGCAAGCAGAACATCGTTTTTTCTCCCATGTGCATTTCCTCTTCATTTGCAATGTTGTCCTTGGGTGCCCGGGCCACCACCTTAGATCAGATCCTTAGAGGTCTCAACTTTAGCCCATCAGAGATCCAGGAGAAGATGATACATGAAGGTTTCCATGACCTCATCTATACCTTAAACAATGGAGGGTCTGGCCTCCAGGTGGACATGGGCAGTTGCCTGTTTGTACAAAACAAGCTGCATCCACAACCACAGTTCTTAAGTGGACTTAGAAACATCTATGGAGGAGATATCTACATGGAAAATTTTAAGAACACAATAGAAACTGAACAGCATATCAATAAGTATGTCGAAAGGAAAACCCATGGGAAGATTTCCAAGCTTGTTGATGAAGTCGACCCAATTACTGAAATATTATTGGTTAGTTATATTTACATGAAAGGTAAGACAAGCTAACAGGCTTCTTTCATTTGCTCACACAGCATCCCAATCTGAGAATTTTAGAACATTCCCTGGAGTTTTAAATGGAACTCAGTTCCGCTTAAGTACATGAACCTTCTACTTTTTGCAAAGAAAGCATTGTGTGATCAGATAACCAGTCGCTGCACCACTGTGACCTTACTGGCTGTCTCAAGAAGTATAGTGCTGAATATGCATCGCCTATCATTTCAGAGGAGATGTAAAAGAAACATATATTCTAGGTTTAGGGATACCATTACTCATCTTTAGCAACTGGCATTTAGAGATGTTTAAGGATACTATGTATGCAATGCTTCAGTCCTTGACCAGTATATCTCCAAGACATCAATGTGTGTCTACCTCTCTTTTTTCCTTTATATTGTCTCATGGCAGATGTTCTTCAGATTAATTGTGGTCAGGCTTACATTAATTGAAATATCACTGAGTTCATTAAGAATAAGGAAAAAGCTGAGATTTTGATTTAACTAATCAGCTGAGGTTTGTTGGTGGTTTCAAAATGGCTTGAACCTTCAAAGAAAGAGGGACAGATGGACAGACATGTTTATGTTGTCTGTGATCAGTTGTAATGCAAACTTTTCTTTGGCAGTGTGGGGTAGGCCTCAGTGGACCTCTAAAAAATAACCTGGTGCCCTGACCTTCCTCAGTATGTTTCAGAGAGAGCAGGTCCATGGGAGAGCACCCCAGGGAACATAAGTTGTTTGGATTTTCCCTTCAGGGATTGTAGTCTCTCTTAGGACCTTGTAGGGGTGGGACTTTAAGTTATAATCCCTGCCCTTCACAACCATTTTGGAAAGAACCATGCTGGCTGCTTCTGAAGGTCACAGATGGAATCTCAGCAGGAGGGAAATGGAGCATTCCAGTGGACAGAGAGGGCAGGGAAGGGTAGAGGGCAGAATTGGAGAATCTTCTGGTTTCTCTAATGGCCCAGCCCCCAGTGGGACATCATCTCTAGATCTGTTTAGAGGAACATGTGCTAATAGGAAGACAGAGGGATGAAGACGGCTGCTCTCACTCCTTCCTCTCTCCCTGGATACTAAGAAATCAAGCAGCTCAACACAATGCAAAGCAAGATAGGCCGTGCCCTTCTGCGGGCTAGTTGGATCTGCTGACTTCATGCCATTTCCATCACTAGGAATGCTCAAAGGACTCAGATCATCTCCATGCTTTTCTTATGGGGTGAACCCAGCAAGTGGAAATGCCAGTTTGTGGTACTGCCTTTCCTTCTTCACAGGGCAATTGGAGCCTGTGACTTCTGGGGAGCAAGGGGTTCAGCCCAGAGTTTAACTAAGTTCAACCCCCCTTTTATAACTAAGATTTAACCTTTTTAAAAAATTAATGCTATTAACCCTCTGTTCGACTTGCAGCTAGTTGACAGCCATTTGAATTTACTAGTAGCTCATGTCAGAAGCAGAGAAATATTATTGAGAGTAAGCAACATCTCACCTTTTCTATAAATGTTGGGGAACTGCTTGAATTATCATTGGCCCAGAATTAGGAGTCCTCAGTAAATCAGCTTGGCTATATATACTTTTATCCTCACACCAGCCCTGTGCAGTAAATTAGGCTGAGACTGTGTCACTTTTGAACTCCTCTTTCTTTCAAAGACTTTCACCAAACCTTCTGAACATTTCCATGTATGTATATAAGCCAACACTTCCTTCTGGTACCTGTAAATTTTGGGAAGATTGGTCAAAACCTTTCAATTCTGCAAAGGTCTGAACACTGCTAACATCTCTTACCAGGGCAGAACACTCATTTTACTGACTAGCTCGACCATACACACCAGATTCCGTGCTGCACTTTACTCCCTGCTCAAGGAGTCCTCCCAGCTTCTATCAAGTATTGTTCATTGGGTTGTTTGGTAGACTGGTAGTCCTGGGCTGAATCTTCTGCTTATGAGGAGACTCATGCATGGTGGTGGTCCCCCTTACTTCACCTTTCTCTGGAGATTCAGCCCCCCACTAACCTGCCACTAACAGCATCAGCTTCTGTTTCTCCCTCTCAGCCACTGCTAATACAAAATTATTCTACATCCTCTGTGATGGGGGAAGGAGGAAGCGTATTACTGAACATATGCCTTCTCTGAACACTTTCGAAGAACTAATCATTTTCGGCTTTTGACTCTGGTGCCAAGCAATTTAGATGAAGGCCAATTATGCAATGATTTTTTAAGCTTTGATCAGATGCAGGCCTGAAGACGAGTTCTTGCCTAGCAAATCTTTTGCCATTGACTTTCTTTCTTTCACAACAGTTCACACCATGTAAAAAGCTTATTTGAAAAACTAAATGAAACAGAATTTAGAAAAAGGGGAGTTTCCCACTAACTGCAAAACAAGGAGAATACAAACCCTTTCTGTAGAAATGTCTCCTCAGGATGTGTGAATGGTCACCAATGAATAGTGTTATTTTTTCCTCTTTTGCCTTTAAGTGGTTTTTCTCCTTGAAAGTTTTACCAGTCATCTTGAAATATTCAGGATATAACTGTAAGCTAAGTTTATGGATGGGTATTGCCATTGCCATCACTGCTGTGACAATAGTAATTCTAAATTCATAAACTCTGGCACATAAAAGATCATTGCAGGAACAGATCTGTCTTCAGTAACAAGAGCACCAGCAGCAGCAGCAGCAGCAGCCAGGCCTTCTTCTTAAAAGCCCACTAATGCATTCTTCTTTTTGCAAAGCCAAATGGGAAAAGCCTTTTAATCCAGAATACACGGAGCTGCGTGACTTTTATGTGGATCCGTACACTGTTGTGAAAGTTCCAATGATGATCCAGACGGGTATGTTTGAACACGGCTACGATAAAGAAAGGTCTTGTACTGTTCTGAAACTGCCGTACAAAGGACACGCCTCTGCATATTTTATCCTGCCTGACCAAGGGAAAATGGAGAAGGTGTCCAGGAGTTTGTCATGCGAAGCTTTGCAGACCTGGAAAAGGATACTTTCAAAAGGGTAATAGCTTTCAACTAGCCAAGTTATCGTTTTTCAGACAATTGTGGGGTGATCTTTGTAACGTCATCAGATACAAGCCTGAAAAAAGGCCTTTGCCAAGAAAATGATAAGGTCGCAATTCTATACATGTTTGGACAGAAAAAGGTCCTTTAACTCCAAGCATCCTGCAGCCAAAATGGAATTAAAGGAATTTCACTGGAAATTTTAGGGCTCTTTTCTGTCTAAACATACATGAAATTGTGTCATAAATGTGTTAGTCTTTAAGGTAGCACAAGACAATTTGTTTTGTTTTTATTATAGCAGACAAACTCACCTCTGAAATTTGACTCTGAAAATCCTATTTTCCTGGGAATTAGCACCATTAACCATAACGAGGCAAACATCATAACATGCGAAGGATTATACACATAGGCTGCCTTATAGTACACTTCTGAGTAAACACGTTTAGGATTGTGTTGCTCAGCTTTCAGGCTCAGATTTTGCAAAAGGCTATGGAGTTTGAATGCAAAGGAGCTCACAATTTCAAAGACAAAATTGTGTGGGGGGATAGTTTCCTTTGAAAATTGTAATGAAACAACAAAATAATTTAGAATGATTAAAAACTGGATCTAGACTTGCTTATGAAAATAACAACACAGGGTGGCTATTGAGAATGGGGAAAAAAACAAAACCAACCCCAAATCAAGAAGGATAGTTGACCTAAGACCATTCCCATTGAATCAAACCGACAGCTCATTAGTTCAGCATTCTGTTTCCAGCAGTTTCACGCTGGAAGGTAAAAAGAGTCCTGCTGAATCAGACCCAGGGACCATCTAGCACAGCATTCTGTTCGCCCAGGAAACCCAGAAGCAGGACATGAACACAGCAGCGCCTCCCTACCCATCTTCCACACCAGTTGATATACACCAACTGAATGCCTCTGTTAACAGCCCTCCCTTATGATCGGTGTCCAGCACCTGGTACTCAAAGATATCAGCCTCTGTACATGGAAATAGCATAATGCCAAGTCAGGCCACTGGTCCATCCATCAGAGATGAGGAATTTGTGACCCTCCAGACATCAGAGATGAGGAATTTGTGACCCACTAGAGTTTCCAGTGCCTCTGAGCATTGGCCATGCTGATAGGGGCTGAATGTTGCTGGAGTCCAACAACTTCTGGAGGACCAGTGGTCTGCAACCTTGACCCAAACTGATTGGAAGCACTTGCCATGAGCACAGTCTTACCCCTGCCTTATCTGGAGGTGAGAGAAAAGGAATCTTTTCCCTTTTGAATACAGACATGTGGCTGACCACTTAGCTACAGTCTTTCCCCTTATGCCAAGCCAGCCCACAAGTCCATCATCCATAGATTTCCATTTGCTCTACACAGTTTGGCAGGAGATCTCTAGCATTTCAGATAGGTGCCCTCTTCAGTCATACTGGAGTTGAAAAGCAGTAGACGTGGAATTTCTGCATGTAAAAGATGTGCTCTTCCACTGAATTTTAGTCCTTTTCTCTAGCTATCATGACCACCACTGCTGATAACCTGTCCATCCATCACCACTGAAGTCCACCGCTAGACATGAACCGACAGTGGTCCCATGCATTCCTCCCATAATGGAAGAGTTCCCAGAGTCCCCATTGGGCCTAAGTGTAGTAGACACCTTATCCAACTGGTTTTTGCTGAAAGAGACAATTCAGCAAGTCTTCTTGCTGGGAAGGAGGGGGTGAAATAGCCCAGCCCTCTCCCCCACACACATACACACAGCTGGAAGCTGATTCTTTGGAATGCATAAAGCATCTGGTAGTTGTGGCAGACATTTTGGTTGGAAAGACAGAGGTCAGACTTCCTGCAGAAATGGATCCTCTGGCTGGTTGCTGGAGCCATAGTTAATCATTGCCTTACTACTGGTGGAGCCTTAGAATAAGGCATCTTGTAAACGGAATTTATTTGGGAATTCTCGCTATTTTTTCCCATTGGGATTTTAATTTGTCATGCAAACAGTGAATAAAATCTGACCTCCCTCTCCTGGAGGATTTGAAGAATTCTGAAATCTTTCAGGGAGAAGCAAAGATGTGACGTTGCACTAAGGGCCAGCTGCAAGGACGGGCATGCTGAAGCCCTTGCTCAGGAGTCCACAGACAAGAGTCCTGCTAAAACTGGCCTCTCCTTTTCACCGTTGCAACCTCCTTGTTCACTGGCCTCTTATCTGGCCCAGTGGTGGTGCTCTCCCCTTTCTAATTCTCCTTGCCACAAACAGAACACCAAGCCAGCAGAGAGAATGGTTCTAGCTCAGCTCATGACCAGCTGAGCAATTTTTCTCTTTGCAGGGTGTTCTCAATGAAGGGTAGCCTTCCAAAATGTGATCACCCCCTCTCTGAAGGAAGGGAAGTGCATAGAAACATAGAAACAGAGCGAGTCAGAAGGGGTCTCCCGGGCCATCTAGTCTGACCCCCGGCTCCAGCCAGCTCCGCTCACGACATGCCCACCATGCGTATGTCCAGCCTATCCTTGAACACCCACACCGATGGGGCCTCAACCACCTCTCATGGAAGCCCATTCCACACCCTTGGGGTCCTAACTGTCAGGAAATGCTTCCTGGCATCCAACTGGAACCTTGGCTCCCTGAGCTTTGCTCCGTTGGAGCGCGTCCTGCCTTCCTCTGCAGGGGAGGTCTCTACCCACTTCCACATGACACCCCCTCACATACCTGTATGTTGCCAACAGACCCTTCAGAGTCTCCTCCAGGCTGAAAAGACCCAGTTCCCTCAGTCTCACCGAATATGGCTTTCCCTGCAATTTGGCCACATATCCAACATTTCATGAGAGGGAAGGAAATAAAATCATTCTTGCCCTCTGGCATGTCAATTACTTTAGGCACAATGTTGGAGCCCCAGCATTGCCTGTGGGGCTCTAGGATTATTCAGAGAACCAGCTCTGTGGCTCTTTGACCTTGGATCTGGGACTCCACATGGAGCCACATGTGGCTCCACATGAACAGATCTCTATTTATTTTTATTTATTTATTTATTTATTAAAACATTTTTATGCCGCCCCATTCGCCGAAGCCTCGGGGCGGCTTACAACAATACTACCCATCTCCATGTGACATCCCCTCACATGCATCCCACTCCCTCATTCCCCTGCACGTCTAGGACTTGCTGTGGTTTTTTTCCTTTCATTTGATTGACTAATCCTGCTCTTTCTCTTCTGTTTTCATTCACAAACAGTCCTGTAAATGTGTCGCTTCCCAGATGCGTAGCCAGTGGAGAACTTGAGCTGAAAGACATCATGTACACCATGGGCGTGATTGATGTCTTCACTGACAGAGCAGATCTCTCTGGAATCACAGGGCAGCCTCAACACAGGCTCTCGGGCGTAAGTTAGGAGTTTTTTTTTTTTCCTCTGGGGAAAGGAAAACTCACATGCATTACAAGAAGCCGCCCTGAGGCTTCGGCGAATGGGGCGGCATAGATGCCCCCTACATACATACATACATACATAAAGACGCTCATGGTGATCCTCTCCTTGAAAGCTTGCACAGGTGCATAGCTGCATTGGCAGCTTATGTCAGTTTAAGCATCATTTCTTCCTCCAAATAATCCAGGAAGTTGCAATTTGAGGACAGTGATCAGTGTTCTTGGTTAGCTAATGCTCTTCCTGCTCTTCTGAATGCTTGACTAGTGAACAGATTGAACTAAATCAGAAAACAAAGTTGAAGTATTTATTTATTCTGTAGAAGTTATCTTCAGAAGCTTGGATCAAAGAGTTAGTAGTTGAAGACATCAGGGTAAAAGGTTCTACTTATAGGTTTATCCATGAAGTATTGAGAAATGCAAGAGTTCTTGCACCACACAGCTTAAGATTTAGATTTTTTTAAAAAAGGAGAACTGCTGATAACTTATTTTGGGCCAGTCTTTGATGAAAGTGATAAAAAATAATGGCTTCTTCTGAGGGGATGAAGTTTGGTGGGTTTCAAAAGCACAAGACAAACACATTTTCAGAATGTGCACATACAAACCTTAGTTCGTAGGTGCATATATAAAAAATGTGAATGCTTAAAAATAAACATGCAATACATACAGAATCCACACATTGAGGAAAAAAATGTGTATGGATTGCTGTGTGTGCGCAAACTTGTCTGGAAATGGAACATAACAAGTTTGACCAGAAACAGGAGACTGATTGATCGATCCACTTATCTCTGACTTAGAGTATCTAGAAAAGTTACTTTGGAGGCTTGACTGGGACATGCATTTGCTCAGTCTGTGTGAGAATATTTTAAGCCACTTGTTATTATGGGACTTTCTCCTAAGAAGACAGGACATATTAATGTGGAGCTGGAGACTCTCCCCTCCTACTGTGTCCAAAGAAATATGCAATATTGGTTCCTCTCTTTGAGAGACAACCAAATCCAGAGACAAACTATGTTGAAGCTGAGGGAATTGTTTTTGCACAGCTTTAAAGATCATGACCAGAGTGTCTGTATGTGACACTGCAGGCTGTATAGGAACTGGGCATATAATGCAACTAATTTGCAAGGCATTCCTTGAGATCTAAAACATATATTCAGATCATGCGTGGCCATAGGCAGAATAACATGACTTTTTCCCTCCTGTAGGCTCTTCATAAAGCTATGATGGTGATTGATGAGAGAGGAACAGAAGCTGCAGCAGCCTCTTCTATGGACCTGGTGCCAATGTCTATGCCCACTGTCATTATGTTTAACACTCCTTACTTAGTGTTAATTATGGATGAGAATCACAGTATCCTCTTCATGGCAAAGATCTTAAATCCTGCTGAGAAATAGACAGGAACCTGTCTATTGAACCTGTCTGTTAACTGGAATATGGTCAATAAACATGTTGGTCTGATCAACACTGAAATGACTTTTCTATTGTCTCACCAATTAATCTTGGAACCGTATGGGACTACTGGAGGAACTGAGAAAGGACAGAAGGTTGACCCATGTAAAATCAGCACAGCTTGTCATGTTAGGAACTTCTCACAGTACCTTACC